TTTTTTTATTTTATTTTATTTTAGACCGGAATTGATGTCGTGTATATACATGCTCTGCTTTCTTTTTGTTACAGATGAAAAGGATATAAATGTGGCATCGTGTAACAATTCCCAGTCCTCGACGACTACTTCGTCGTTAAGTGGCCTGCAAGCTAATAGGAATAAGGCTTCCGTATCGCCAAATACGTCTTCCACCTCCGCCAAAAATGAAGCCGATATCAAAGTACCTATACACGCTCTCTCGAATGATCCCGAAGAGGCATATACACTTTACATGGCCAGTAATAATTGGTACCTCTTTTTGAGGTTACATCACATACTCTGCGAGAGATTGACGAAAATGTACGACAGAGCAGTCGCTCTCGCCGAGGAGGAGTCAAAGTATAAGCAACAACGCAAGGAAAGTACAGCGATCGCTTTAAGATTAAAACCAAAAAGTACGTTTATACTATATATACGATCGATATTGCCTTTTTGTTTTTACAATCAATCGTCGTATTAATCGCTTCCATCATCATTGTACTTAGGTGAAATTGAAATTGAGGATTATTACCCCGCTTTTCTGGACATGGTAAAAAATGTTCTCGACGGAAACATGGAAAGCACAGCGTACGAGGACACGTTACGAGAAATGTTTGGTATACATGCCTACATTGCCTTTACTCTTGATAAGATCGTAACTTACGCTGTGAGGCAAGTAAGTGAATTCCGTTATATTTTCTTTTCTATGATATCGTGAGAGAAAGAATGTTCAAAACTACATATATTTTCTCATAGTTGCAGCACTTAGTCACAGACACCATATGCCAGCAATGCATGGAATTATTCCAAAGAGAGCAACGTCAACCTAAAGAAAGCAGCGGAGCCGGCGGGTTGTGCGCTACGGCATATATGAGATTAAGTGCTGAATTAGCATATCAACGCAAAGCGGAAAAAACAATGGTCGATGAAAATTGTTTCAAGATATATATAGTAAGTATCTTTAAAATATTCGATTTAGTGTATACTGTAGTGATTTCAATGTAGCAATTATTGTTATTGATATATATATATATAATTAGACTCTAATCTTATCTTGTGTTTTGCTTTTTATTACAGTACAAGAAAGACTGTAAAATGACAGTGGAGTTGTTAGATACAGAGGGCGACGAAACGGTGGATAGTGGCTGTAGAGAGAGAGAAAGGGAAGGCGTCACAGTCTCTGAAAAATGGTCGACGTACGTTGAGAGATTTTCTGCACCAGCTGGTCAGGCTAGCCCAAAAGACACTCCTGCCTTAACAGAGAATGAGCCACCGACCAATCATCCTGTGAGTAGCGACCAGGCAGCAAGGGGGGGGAGGGGCAGAAAACGCAAGAACACTGACATTAGCAAGAAGGTATAGGATCCAAATACCTTTTCATAATCATTATCAACGTTCATTCGCGTAATAATTGACATCTGTGATTAGAGTTGTTGTACGTTTCGTCGTTTTTATTTGGCGTACAACAAGAGTATCCCCAAAGAATAAAGGTACGATGGAGAATTTTTTTTCTATTAAAAGTAAAATTTATTTGTGAAAAAGTTTATTAGACACTTTTTTCACGGAAAGCGATCTTCGTGTAAATTTTCGTCGGAATAGGAACACGCGAATTGTGAAAAATATATGGATATATATACGTTGCTAAATTATATTTACGCGAATGGTTAGGACAATCGTATTAATTTCGTCTAATCGTCATATCGATTATAAAATTTCTGTATATTTATCTAATGTTTTATTCAATTAAATACTCTTCATACGCGTAGTAGAACAAGATTTATACGCTTATTATATTTTATAATGATTGGGAATTTATAAGCGACTTATAAAATTCTTCTTCGGCCGTAATCATTTATGTGGTGATGCAAATTACATGAAATTTTCTGACTCGTTACAGAGCATCTCTCAATCTTTTTTAAATACAAATCTTTGTCATTCAAACGGTTGCTCTATATTATTTGCAATATTCTAAATATGAAAATATCTTATTATATGAAAATACCTTTTTATTTTATATATGGTTTATTTTTATTTTTTTTTATATATAACACGAGTAAGAATGTTAGAGACATAAAATCCATTAAGAAAATGAAAGAAACAACAAGGTTAAAATTTAATTCGATTTAATTCTTCTGAATTATATGTTGGTATTAAATCATATACGCGATTTTTTTCTATTTATCCTTTTTCATATTACACCTTTATTGACAATTTTTGGTCTTTAAAAAAACAAATTAATTTTAATTTGTAATTGAAATTACACTGTATTTATTACTTCATTTTTGTATTATTTTTATGATATTTAAACATTGTAAATTTTTCCAAAAAAAAAGGGAGAGGGAATATTTTTTTCATATAAATCGCAGCAACTCCATACATCTTTAGCATTATGTTAAAAACATAAAGCTCAAGTCTACTACATGGTAGTGACTAGTAATTAATCAATTCAGGATGAATGAAGAAAATTTCATGTATATAAAACCGTATTATACATACCGCATTTGTTTAGCTCACCATTATGCATTCATTTAATAATGGATGTTATCAGAAACCAGTTGTTGTGAGATAATAGAGTGATGACCAATTGTAAAAAATATTGATAAAAAATTGTATAAAAAACACAAAGGGAGAACTGGCATACATTTCACAAAGTCATCTTAGCAGTGCCATAATGAATGTAAAATAACAATTAAATGAACAATTTAGATGCCCTTCTTTAGATTGAACGTACATCGTCATCTAACTAGTTACATATTTCATGAAAAACAAATTTTATTGTACATATTTAGTATATTTGTAATATGTAATGACATAATATTTCATCTTTCTCTCTTTCTCTCTCTCTCTTTCTCTCTCCATATATAAATATATGTATAAAGAATATTTTTTACAGTTTGCGAATGAAAAATTAAAACTAATTACACACACAATAGATAGACATATAGCAGAACAGAAACATCTTGTAATAAAATGTGTTATATATGTTTTTACTTAAAGTAAAAATGAAAATTTGAGTGAAAAAATTAATCTCCATTTATTTGTTAAAAGCCAATTCTTTTTTTTTCTTTTTTTTTCTTTTTTGTTTTTTTTTTTTTTGCCGCATCGTAACTCGTCATCGATAGATGCCGCGTCGATATTTTCGGCCCTATCTAGCGAGATTGATCCCGCCGCCCGTGTTGCGCGACGACTGATTCAGCAATAACTTATCGCGCGCTGATACACACCGCGGTCGCGCTATTATCCGCGATACTTTTTTTTTTCTACTTTGCGGACGTTTCTCGATATGCAACGACCGCTAAAATATATTTATATTTTATCCTTTGTGTGACTTAACAAAACTACAAAGTTTACTTGAAATGCATATATTTCCTAATCGCTACAATGAGTAATTTTTACAAAAGTAGTTTTGGATATAATGGTAAGAACATGCATTACAGTTATGTGTATCTTTGATGAAGAGATAGTTTTTGAATTATAAAGATAAGAGAACTATATAATGATTTTAATCATGATTTTATATCGATATATTCAATTATATTTCGTAAAGTGAGACAAAGTGGCAATACAAAACGATTCAAAAGCTAAATCGAGAATTAGTTTATTCAAATAAAAGTATAATATAATTTTGTTAATTTTCCAGCTAATCACTAGCTAATCTAACTACAGAAAAGTATTTCATCTGTGTATAATTCGTATAATTTTTTTTATTCTAATTCATTCGGAATGTAATTTTGGATATGTGTATTAAATTGATAAACATTAATATTTTTAATAGTAAAAAAATTTTATATGTACCTAAACTAGCTGATACAAGAAAACGTATCTCTTGAAAATATTTCTTATCTATTTGTCTTTATTTTTTAAATCAGAATTATCTATTCTTATGCATATCTACATTTACAATGTCTATATATACAAGAAACTTATTTTTCCTGAAACATGTAACTATTTAGATTAATATGTGCGTGTCATCTGAAAGAGAAGGCATCTGTATTTAGTAAGTGGTTAAAAAGATGAGAATAATCCTTCGTACGAATTCTAATTTCTATTGTAACATTTGGATTAGTTAGTTCTTGAAAAGAAATTCCTTTCATTTTCTCTCTTCATCTGATATTATATTAGATAAGGAAATATAGATACATACATAT